ACCACAGCGGTAACTCACGAGTACCGCGATTACCGTGGGTTCTTGCTATCGATTTCGATGGTTGTTCCGCTCAAGGATAACTGGAAGAATACACGACAACACCGAGGTATTACCAGTTAACCCGAGTTAACCCCCGTATTAACCAAAATGTTTGTAAACCTGATTACCTCAGTTGGACAGAGAACACCCCTTGACCAAACTCGAAAGGGATCAAAATATATTGTAATTTGTCGTATACGCGCGTAGTTGGCTTTGTGCTCTTCCAATGGTGTGAATGGATCGGTGGGTTCTCCCACCGTGGGAGGCCAGGCCTCATCAGTTTGCCTCGCTTTGGAATCATCCTGGGTCAGGCATCGGCACGGCCCGCCGGCCACAGACAAAACCGGACGATATGCCCTGCTAAAGTTGCCTGACCTTGGGCGACCTATGGTTCACTACAAAAAGTCAGAGGTCGAATACGGACAGGTTGCCCACCCAGTGCCCCACCCCGTTCGCCGCTCCGTGCCCGCCTCACTACACGGGAGTGTGAGGAAGGGGAACGGTGCAGTCATTCATAGTTTTACACCTGCCAGCCTGCTGTCGTCTTCGTGTGGACCAGTGTTTGGTTTCATTTGGTCATCGGCGGAAAAGTTTGAAACATTACTTTCAGACAGTTCACTGAAGTCAGGTCAAGAACAAGTGACGGGTTGATAATGAAGTGTGATCATATTATGGTCGTGGCGTAGGACAAAGCTATGAGCGATAACTGTCAAAAGGATGTATTATTTCGTTATGTAGAACTATAGCATTATGGCCCCTAACGGTCCTCCCCCCATATACCAACAGAATTCCGTTAAAATTCTGCCCCTTTCCCCTATCCCCCTTTCCCCCAACCGCATCCGTGCAGCGTCCATCGACTTCTCTGACTTTTTCTTTTTAAATAAGGAAAAACCCTGCCCGCGCCCCGCGCCCTGGGTGATAGCAAAGCACGGCGCCAAGCGGCGAGGCGCGAAACATAGGCAGTTTTTAACAGCGGAACCGGTTGTGTCATCTTTAGATAGACTGCGGAGTATAATCTGGAAAAGAAATTCCAAGTTACAGGGTACATTTAAAGATTAAGTCCATAAAATAAGCCGATAATATAGTGATAACCTAAATGGGGTAATTTATAGCGGAAAACGACACGGTTAGGAAAACCTACAGGAAACGTCTACAGTGCGCCCTGTCAATTTGTTACCAGGTCCGCGACTGTAATTTTAGATTACGGTCCACTCCGTACATAAAATACACAGGGCGGACCGTGGGCAAACTGTTCTTCCTTACAGGATTTCTAACAGTGGATGGAGCACGCGAACTATCTCAGTCCCCATTTTATTTCTTATTCTAACTAACACTTCCGAACGCACCTTTATCTCATTTGCTCTAACACTCTCAATGGGGAAGGACAATTTATGTACCTAGGTTAGATGTGTCCTTACAATTTAAAATTAAAATTGCACTGTAAAAAAAATCGAGAATAATAGTTGAATTAATTAACGGTCTCCTGCTTTTTCTAATGGATAAAAACTACTGCCAGTGCCAGATGCACTTGTCGGGCACTTGTCATTAGCATCTGTAGGGAATCGTCCCCTTCCAAAAGCAATAAACTCAAAATTTCTTCAGCACCCCTTCAAAAGCGCTACCTAACACCTTTGCTCTTTAAGTGTGTTGAACGGCACAAACAATAAACCTCTCATAATTTATCCCCAGTTGCTATTTTAAAGCTTTACCTCAAATTACAAAATTTAAAAAGTCCAATTAGCAACCAATAATAAAATAATTCATATAATTGCTCTGCTCCATGGAAACGAACCCGAGGATTTCACGTGGACGGCAACGTGACTGTCGCTAATGTTGCCCCTACGACCGTAAGGAGAAACGGCTCTAGGCACTCGGCAAACCACCATACACGGGCACAGACATACTAACGTTGACGTATAAACGGTTTAGAAGGAAAAATTTCTGGGTGTCATAACTGCCAGGTTTGCTCTGGGGGCAAATCATACAACTTTTAAATCTGCAGAGTCACGCCTCCAGCCAGTGCCGAGTCCGGTCGGGTATAGCCCGCCTGCGGCGTGGCGAGGTGGGGCCGATGACCGTCGAGCTCCTTGTCGCACCCCCCTTCTCGTGATGAATGAAAGGCGATCACACGTGAGAAGCGAGTCGGCGAAGACGATAGACCTACCCCCAGAACCTCCAGATGTAAAAGCGAGATTCGATCGGCTCGTGGGCTTACTGCGTCTGCCAGTGGCACCGACGTATCATTCGGAAGGTTGGGTCGAAGGGGCGGGAGGATGAGGGGGAGGGGGGCACCGCATGGGCACACATACGCCTTGTCTAAATATTTGTACACTGTACGCGAGGGTATTTCCTCGCCAGTGTCATCCTTTTTAGACAGCCCTCAAGACTGTCTCTACTAGAAGGAAACGTGCCCCCCTCCCCATCTCCCCTTTATTATTCCTGCTGACTGCTTCGTCCGACGCTTTTTAGAAAATAAGCCGAATATTGAAGCTCGAAAACAATAATATAAAACGTTTAAGAGTCCTAGTGTGGATACATAGTTCACGAAACGCAAGCGTGATTTTCACGCAAAGCGTTATTTTTCACGCGAGGCGTGATTTTTCACGCTTCGGAAGCTTCATACAGCCGATCAGGAACCGACTTTCATCACGCTCGCGTTTTGGGAACCTTCACGCGTGAAAAAGAAATCACTGCGC